ACTTTAACACGAGCAACTTCAATTAACAATGCTGCATTGTTTTCAAGGCAAATCCTGCCAGCTTGCCAACCCCTGTGCCTCCAACCCCTGTGCCAACGGTGGCCAGTGCTCAGCCTTCGACTCCACCTACATCTGCACCTGCCCGCCTGCCTTTCACGGTCAAACGTGCAAGCAAGATGTCAACGAGTGCGCTCAGACTCCCTCTCCCTGTCTGAATGGTGGCACGTGTGTAAACGAGGTGGGCTCGTACCACTGCCGCTGCCCCCAGGAATACGCAGGAAAACACTGTGATTCCCGGTACATGCCGTGCAGCCCCTCACCCTGCCAGAATGGAGGCACATGCGTCCAGAAAGGGGACACCACCTATGGCTGTAGCTGCCTCCCAGGTATAAAACAAAAATATTTAACACCTAAAAAACAGAACAATAACCTGCCGTGTGTAGTTGGTCTGGAAACAGAACCCCGCCTATTATTTTCCTGCCATCTGTTGGTGCAGTGAAATCAGATCGGGGCGATTTGCTGCCCCACAACTTTTTCCTTTTTCTCTGCCAGTCTCCATTGACAGGATGCGGTTGTTCAGACGTTTCCTTCTGATAAACACCCAAAAACACTAGGAGCCACACATGCCGTTAAAATACACACACACACACACACACCCTAATAATAAAGTCACACAATACAATATTTAGTTTTTATGGACCAAAACAGTAAAGTGTTTATCACACTTTTTATTGATGTCAAACTAGTTTTAAAATACTAACCTAGTTATTGTTGTTGCTGTAAAAGTCAGTAGAGCAGCTGCAGAGAAACCCTTTGTTCTAAACCACATCACACAAACACACATTTCTGTTTCCCTGAATGCTTCAATAGCTTGTGGCCGTCACAGGGCAAGTTGTTTAGATATGCAGATGAACAGGGGACAAAGTGAGGTTGTGTGTTAAAGTTTAATCCATGCTGTGTGCGTCCCGTGGGTGTCCATGTTGGAATGCGCTTAGATAGCAGAGCTTAACAGGCACCTGCAGAGCTGCGGGCTGATAGTCGATCAGACTATCACTGCTCTGAAACACCCACTCAGTTCTTTGATGTTGGCCAAGAAGACAAGCTGCCTTCTTCTACGGAAGACAATAAAACAATCAGTCACAAGGGTGTGGAAGGAAACAGGGCTTTTATTTACCACCACTTAAGTGCAGCACGATATGTAGAAGAGAGAGACTCATTTTGATCATTAAGTCAAAGCAAATGTCACCATATCTTTTTCAGTATCTTTGTGATTCACCGTTGTCTCGTCGTTTGTTATCTCTCTCCGTCCAGGTTTCACAGGTCAGAACTGTGAGCACAACATCGACGACTGTCCAGGTCACAGCTGCCAGAATGGGGGTGTGTGTGTGGATGGTGTGAACACCTACAACTGCCGCTGCCCGCCTCATTACACAGGTAACGTCTTGTTCAAAAAAGCTCAAACTAAAGCATTTAGACAAACACTTACGTTGTGCTTGTTGTACTATTTCTGTTTGAACCGTTCTAGGTCAGTACTGCACTGAAAATGTGGACGAGTGTGAGTTGATGCCCAACGCGTGCCAGAACGGAGGGACCTGCCATGACACTCACGGTAGCTACCACTGCGTCTGCGTTAATGGCTGGACTGGTGACGACTGCAGCGAGAACATTGACGACTGCGCCAGTGCAGCTTGCTATCATGGGGCAACATGTCATGACCGCGTAGCCTCATTTTTCTGCGAGTGTCCTCACGGTCGCACAGGTATGAGCCTCAAACAAACCTCATCGCTTGTGGCGACTCAGGTCTTTACGGATGGGAACTCAAACGTCATGACTGTGATACACTTAAAAACACACACACACGTATTTGTTTGAACAGGTTTGTTGTGCCACCTTGATGATGCCTGCATTAGCAACCCATGTCAGAAAGGCTCCAACTGTGACACCAACCCAGTCAATGGCAAGGCAATATGCACCTGCCCCCCAGGCTACACCGGGTCAGCCTGCAACCTGGACATTGACGAGTGCTCACTTGGTATGTTTAAATGTCAATGTATCGGTCATTTATAATTACTATACATTATTAGCGACATACAATTCATAAATGTATTGTTTTTTTTTTCTCAACATTTCAGGAGCCAACCCTTGTGAACACGGCGGTCGCTGCCTCAACACCAAAGGCTCGTTCCAGTGTAAGTGTCTCCAAGGATACGAGGGTCCTCGCTGTGAGATGGATGTCAATGAATGCATGTCCAATCCTTGCCATAATGATGCTACCTGCCTGGACCAGATTGGAGGGTTCCACTGCATCTGCATGCCAGGTAGTCATTGAAACGGTTACTCTACATATAATAGACAACTGGTGAAAAATAAACTCGCCATGACTAACATCTCTCAAACTGGCAGGATATGAGGGTGTGTTCTGCCACATCAACACAGATGAGTGTGCCAGCCAGCCGTGTCTTAACAATGGAAAATGCGTTGACAAGATCAATTCCTTCCACTGCGAGTGCCCCAAAGGTGAGAACATTATCTGTGATGAAGAAAAAGCTCATGAAAAGAAGCAGGTTATTAGAATCCATCTGTCTCTTCTTGGGAAAACAATGAGTTCAGGGAAGAACCTATGAAAAAGTGGATCATTGAAGCAGCTTTCATTGAGTAGAGTTTGCCTGGTCCTTAGATTAGTAACTGATTTACCTCATCCAATGATGTCAAACATTTTCTTTTTGTTGAGGATATTAACTAGGGTATCAAGTTACTGAAACATTTGGCGGTATGAGGATTTGTGTTTGCACTTGGGGCCTAAACTGTAACTGTAAGCCTGAGTCTATTGTGTTGTCATTAGAAGGATTTGTATAACCCTCAAGACTTTGACAAAGTCTTCTGTTATTCTTTTTTCCCTACTCTACCATAATATGTAACACATGTCAACAAATACTGTGAAATCCTTTACTCATCTTAAAGTAATTCTGTATTTGTCAATCGAACTTGCAGGCTTTTCCGGGAATCTGTGTCAAGTGGACATCGACGAGTGTGCCAGCACGCCCTGTAAGAATGGAGCTAAATGCACAGATGGCCCCAACAAATACACCTGTGAATGTGCAGAGGGTAAAGAGACAGTTTTCCAATTTCAGAAAGTCTGATCACTGTTTTTAAATGTTCTTGTAAAAAGATTATCGTGGCTAAAATGTAACTTTTGTGTCCAGGTTACACAGGGCAGCACTGTGACATCGACGTCAACGAATGCTACTCTGACCCCTGCCACTATGGCACTTGTAAGGATGGACTGGCATCTTTTACTTGCTACTGCCACCCTGGCTTCACTGGACGCCTGTGTGAAACTAACATTAACGAGTGTCTGAGCCAGCCCTGCAAGAACGGTGGCACCTGCCAGGACAGAGAGAACACCTACATGTGCCTCTGCCCAAAAGGCACCGCAGGTGAGGCTTCAAACACAGTCAAACAATAGAAGAAAGTCCCTCATGTGTAAATGTCCCTCACATCATTATTCCTCACCCTTTGTCTGCAGGTTTTAACTGTGAGGTGAACTTAGACGACTGCAAGAACAAACCCTGTGACTACGGCAGATGTATTGACAAAATCAATGGCTACGAGTGTGCATGTGAGCCGGGTTACACAGGTAAGCAGTGGGTGGAGTTTGCAGGTGCACTGAGACGCTCTCATAAGCT